CCCCCCCCCTTCAATCTGTCTTTTCCTACTTCCCAGTCACAGAGCACTTAGAAAAGCAGACAAGAGACAGGAGTAAGAAAGCCATGGGAGAAGAAAACCGACTGGTGAATCTGTGAACCTGAATTCCCAGGTCATTCTTGTTAAACATTTAAGTGACTTCCAGTGTTTAAAGATGACAGATGTTTGGATAACGGCTGCTCTCAGTAGACTTGGGAGAAAGTAAAAAAATAAAATAGATTTTTCTTGTTCTTAAGATTTATTTATTTTTATTTCACCTGTATGGGTGCTTTGTCCGTGTGTATGTCCATACGCCATGCGTGTGCCTGGTACCTGTGGAGGCCAAAGAGGCCCTGGAACTGGAGTTACAGATGGCTGGTTGTGAGCCACCATGTAGGTGCTGGAACGGAACCCCAGGTCCTCTGCAGGAGCAGCCAGTGCTCTCAAGCAGCCTCAGGAGTACAGGCATTTTAAAGTGTAATTTAATATTTACAGGGTGAGGAATACTTTTGGCTGCAAGTAACAGAAAACCAGGCTTCCTGCAGCCTAAGCCGACTGGCAGGCGTCTGAGGTTGGCTGCTGTGGCTCTCATAAGCAGCTCCAGCGTGAGAGCCAGCATCACAGCGACTGTCCTGGCTCCCCCACTCCCGTGTTGCCCCCTGGCTGCTACCCCACTAGTCACCTAGTCATTCTCAAGGTAGGAAAAGAGCCAGTCATGTTTATCCCTCTTACCTGGAAAGCCGACCCTTCCCAGGGACAGCTCGGTAAACTTCTGTTCCTTCATGTTTAATTGGCCAGAACTAGGTCACCGTGGCCTACCTTAGCCTCAAGCAAAATCGAGGAAATTAACTTTCCAGCGTGTCTAGCCCCTGTAGGAAGAAAAGAAGACCAAGACAGAGGGTACCAGTGTCGGTGCAGTTGAGCCCTGTGTCCTCAGTGCCGGTATACTCGTGTCTCTGTCACAGAGGAGACATCTGCTTTGCACCCCAAGGCACAGCCTGATTGCACGGCTTGCCATAGCAGCATCCCCAGCCATCCTG